TATATTAAAGAAATAAATCAATTACTCTTTCCTTCCGCTCCCCCTAGCCTGTGCTAGCTGCTGATGTTGGGCTATTGCAGTAGCAGTTAATTGTCAGGGAAATCCCAGTGCGAGTAGCCAGTGGGGAGACAGAATATCAGGCTGAATCTTGTAATGCTGAAAACCCCTTACATGGGTAGTGAGTCCTAACGGCTCCAAAGGATGCCAAAAAAAAGGTGCTGTCCTCTGTGTAAGGACATCTGATGGTGCCTGTGCAGGGCTACGCCTTCTGTCCTGGGCGCACGTGAGCCTCTCGTAATCAGAATAACGTGCATGCTGACCTGTGGCCTCCACTGCTCCGGTTTTCCAGAAGATTGCGCTCCTGTGTAGACATGGCACCGTGTCCTGCATGGTAGATTTGTGGGTATTTTTGTAGCCCGTCTCTAGGCGTCAAATAAGCATTTTGTCTGGTTACTGGTGTAGAAAGCAAGGACTTTTTGTATTCCATTCCTCAGCTCACTTTTTATTCTACCTATAACACAGAACAGCATCAGCGTTTTCCAGACTATTGATCATTATTCACAGCTGCAGATTCCAGCAAGGTAAAGAGTCAAATCATGTATACAGCAAGGCAGGGGGAAGGAAAACCAGACAAAAAGCTAAAATTCCACCTTGAGGATGGTACAAATCGACTTAAGTAGAACAATCTGAAACTATCGAAGCGGAGTATTGGATCCCGTCTCAGTCTTACCGTACAAGTTAAAACTTAGACATAATGACATGGTGCTTCATCTCCATGTGTCCTTGACTCTAGTAGCTTCGCTGGATTGACTGCTATCCTGGGCCATAATTCTTTTTTACATACTTGTGTTACGGCTGTTTCCACATCATGTTGAACTGCGGTGGATTCAGTAGCAGAAATACAGTTCTTGTGCTGCCTTCTTCTCCTTAAGGGCGTTCTAGTGTTGCAGTTCGACTGAGTAACAGGTTGGTTACTTACCAAAAACCAAAGTTTAAAATGCACTAGTCAATATTTATGCATTTATTCACTGTAACATGTTGGTCAGCAACTTCATTGCATCCACTTTTGACCCTAAAATATTTCATCATATATTTCATTCATAATGCAGTATGTCATTTTTAAGAGTTTCACGTATGAGGCTCTCCCCGGGGAAGCAGGGATTCCTTCCCACTTGGATGTTTCGGGGTGGTTTGTGCAGGAACTGACACGCGGCTGAAACCTGAGGTATTGCACAACCCGAGCGTTCTGTTACGTTACGTTACGGTACTCTTCAGTGTAATTTGTTCTTTTCCTATGTGAACCATGACTAATTACTGAGTCAAAAGCCAATCATAATACGCAAATGACAGCAGTTTACAGACAGGGCAATATGGCAACTATAGGTTTTCTTGTTGTCAACTTTGGTTAGTTTGTTTAAATGTTATACGCAGGGGAAAAGGGGAAGGCAAAGAAAGAAGAAACATGAGAACTGTTTTGTCTTATTTCTACTTGATGAAAATCTTTCCAAGATTATGTTGCTACCAACAGCACTTCCTGCTTACAAAACCTACAGTACACAGTGAATATTATCAAACTATGTTGGTTAACATGCATGTCTATTACAGCATATGGTGTTAATGGATTTCAGAGGCTGATAAATGCCTGTGCACAATGGAAAGACATGGAGAAAACCTAAGAGCTAGAAGATGCAGTTGCTAAATTTAAAGGAGGCCAGCTGAACAGGCCTAGCGGCATCTTCCTGTCTATCAGTTTCTCATGGTCAATTTTTACTACTACCTTCAAAGGAATAATAAGGGAGGCATAGAAGAAGTCACACACACATCTCATAAAACAAAATTTATCTTTAATTTGTAAGTGTCAACAGCAGTACAAAAGATGGAGTGATGGTGAATAGATTAAGGGTAGAGAGGACAGTCTTGAGGTAAATGAGCATAAATAGGCAGTCTTATAGACACTCCCCTGAGGGGTCTAAACCCCATCATGGCATATACTGTATCACCCAAAGATGACATGTTTAACATATCAGGAAAGCACCTTGTGCAAAAAAAAAAAAAAAAAAAATCCCCCCACCCAAAACATGTAGGTAAGGTGCCAACGTACACCAGAACATACTGTATATGGACAGTGTCTTTCAATTTTGTCTTTTCCATTAATTACTGAGGCAGAGGAGGAGAAGACTCTTAAAAGTACCACTGAAGGATTATTTAATATTTAATTTACCTCACGTCAATACTGCACAACAAAATCCAAGAAGTCTGTTTATGCAATGAAGCAGAGCTAAGAATAACTATTCTCTTTTTTAAATTGAGAACAGAATTTTTTTAAATCAATATCCTTAGCAAACTTTTTTCTCTCTTTTTTTTTTTTATTATTTTACTGTATCAAGAGGAGAGTGTGAGATGTGATGGCAACCTTTAAGTTCATTTAAAAACTTTACACTGGACTGTACAAGATTTTTTGATAAACTATTTACATTTTCAGACTTTAAAACATATTCAAAGCAGCAATAGACACTAGTTTTTCCTCTAAACGCCCAAATAATTACCGGCCATGGGCCCAGGTAGGTACCTGCATTGTATATAGAATTTCTACAAAGAAAACCTGCCTGTTAAATTAGCCAGTGGGTGTCCAACGAGCAGCCCTCACGGTTCAGAGCCGCACCCACAGTGTTGCTATAGGAATCAAAGCATAGTACCTTGACGAGAGAGTCTCAGTTGTCCCAACAGCTCTACACAAACTTTACAATTTGAAACAGCAGCTAGCATGTCAGTCCAGCATGTCAGTGAATTGTGCTGATTAAATTAACATAGAGTACAATCTCACAATATACATCACAAACAAATTACAATGTCAGGAAATAAGAGTTACAGTAAGATAAGTTATGTAGTAACAGCTTATAAGCTTGTCTTAACGTAATAAAAAAATTTGTACATGGGAAATACAATAATGAATGAACATAAATGCTAAGCATTCTAGTTTGCTACAAGCTGAAGAAAGGTACAAGAAAAAAAAACGTTGCTTTCTAGAAAGCAAAACACAAATGACAAAGGAAGACAAACGGAGAATGCACACTAGCAGGTCTGCAATGTGCAGCATACAAACAGTTAAATATTTGCACATTCCCCATACTCCAAGAGCACCAAGGACCTCACTTGTGGTTTTTAGAAAGCGGAAATTACAAAGCAAGCCATGTCACTAAGTTGCTTTATAGCTTTCATATTGCCATAAATACCAATTTGATAAGTTTTCCTGTAGCCCAGTTCACCCCACCCCACCCGTTTTTACCCAGCGTGTGAAATCTCAGAATACTTCTTTGTCACCATTTCCAACAAATCTGGTAGTTAAAAAAGGGTGATGGATTAAAATGAAATATATTTGCATATACATATATTTTAAATTTTTTCCTTCTGTAGTAGAACATTACAGTATATCAAAAATGGAGTTTGAGCTGAGAAAAATCACAGATATTAATAGGTTTATGTTAAAAAAAAGGTTTGGGGAAGGTTTTTTTTTTTTTTTAAAGGAAAACAGTAAATTTTTTTTTAAGTGTTTTGTAAAAGATCACATGAGGTCATATAGTATTCTTTCAAAAGAACATGCTTAAGTGCCAACTTGAATCTTATACAAGCATGCAGAACACCTAGGGCCCGAGCCCATTCCTCAGCTTTTCATTGGAAACATGAAGAACTCGATCACACGCTCTGCCGGCTGCATCTCTAGTGCAGTTGTTCACATCGTGACCCTAGGTCAGCAGAGATTGCCCCGCTTAATGCCAATGCTTTACTGGTCCTAATTACTGCCATGGAAGTACTAACATGCTTAAAATTAAGCTAGTAGGTAAGTGTTTTGCTGGGGGGCAGAGGGGTTAATCTTGTAGTATGTTTTATGAGGAAATTATTTTTGAAATGTCACGTCTTTGATATGACCAAAAAGCAAAACCAGAAAGCCAACCCAGAGAGAGGACCACGCTTTTAGATCGCATTAGGAGATGGTTGTGTTTCTCCTCAAAGCAGTAATTGCCATCAGCTGACTGTCGTAGACTTTACCCAGGGCATAGTATTTATTGTGACTAATGCAGCTATTTGTTTTGCTCTCCCAACCCAGAGCAATCCCATCTTTTGCCCTCCCCCTGCCTCTTGTCACACCTGAGTACACTGATTTAGGAGCACATTGTGAGCCCATGTGTTCTCAGCAGATGGTTTCATGAGCTAAATGGTGACACCCAAACACATAGGCAGATCAGACTTGAGCCATTTCATCAGAGTCATTTCTCCATGTAAACCTGAACCCTGGGAAGCGGTTCCGTTTCCATTAAGACTTTAATCTTCCCTTTTTATGAAATATGAAGTGATCTATTCTAGCTGGTATCAGACTTTCAGGAGTGTTCTTATCTTGAAAATAAGTATTTTATAATTTTCCAAAAAGAAAATATATTGTATCTGTTAATTAAATAAATTGTTTGTTCACAGAGAAAATACTATTACTATATTTGTGCATTACCTGAATGGAGTTGTTATGTTCTTCAGAGTTATCTGGGGGGACTCAAACACAATGTTTAACGAACAATTCCACAAGTCCTCTTTGTGTATCGTGTGAACTTCTTCCCCTGGTATTACAGCCTAATATGACAATATCATGATTCAATGAATGTAGAAAATAAAGGCTCAATATTATTATATCTTGACTGCATTGCAAGGGCTGTCTTAATCATAATAATCTTTCCAGGAATATGTTTTTGACTTCAAAATGCCATTCTTGTTGGGAGCTAAAATATTTCATCAGTTTTGCTTGGATTCACAAAACAGACTGTGTTTCCTATTAGCTGTATCAGAAATTTGGTACATTTCATGTATCAGCTTTCCAAGGAAAAAGTATTCCGTGTTTGAGGAACATGCTATTAAAATTCAGTGAGAGCACAAGTGAGGCATCTTGCTGTCCCAGCTACAGGTCCACAATACTGCGCTCACACTGCGGGTGTAAATTCAGCATCTACATGAGGTACAGTGACTTGTCAGCATTTAATATGGACCAACATACACTGATATAGAACAAAAGTAAATACATAACTTATACTTCACTAAGTATCCATGAACAAAAAATAAAATTCTATTTCCTATGTTATATTTACACAATTTAAAAAAAAATCTAAAATGAGATGGTAAATTCATCAAAAACTTTGTTTTGAGCTCCGATTAAGTAAGTAAAAAATGTTGGTTTTTTTATCCTTATGATTGTCCTTCGTTGATTTCCACTGACATTTTAGAGCCAATGTCGGCTAATAAATAGAATAAAATGCTCATATGCACAATCAGACTCAAATATGTTCCTCCCACTCCCCCAGCCAGTAAATGCAATTTTTACCAGCTGGCGATTCCTGAAGCGCCAATCATTTTCGAGAATGTGGCGTTAACGTACAGAGCATCAGCACTGAGGCAGGGCTGGAGCTAAAACAAAGTGTTCATACATACGTGTATTTTGCATAAATAAATGAAATAACAAGACATAAAAATGACTCAAATCCGGCAACTGTGAGGCAGGCCCACACGAGTCGAAACAGATGACTTTTGTTCATGTAGTTTTCGTACAACAGTTTCACATTAGTCAGAAGTGATAAAAAATACCATTTATATCCAGTGCTTATAACACTTACGAAACAACATCTGTGAGTGTGTGTTTTTTTGTACTACAAGCAAAATCAAGTTTCAGTCCTAAAGAACAGTCCTTTGTTCTCCACAAGCCTGCAGAATATTATTTTGGCATGGTCATAAAATTTTTAAAAAATTAACCAACTAATCTAAATGTTTGCCTTTGTGCAAAAAATAATTACATAAAATACAATGCTAGCAATACAGCATTCTACCTATGCAACAAACCAGAAAAAAAGAGAGCAAGAGAGAAAGAAAGTGGCATGGGGAGAGGGAGAGATACTTCTAACTGGAGAATTATGTAAGACATTAATAAATAGTCATTTTCAAGGGAATAATGGTACCCTCCCCCCAATCTGAGCTGAACCTATTAAAAACAGTTCAAATCCCCAAGCAATTATAAGAACAAAAAACACTTTCTATCAGTACCTTAGCCAGCTTAAAGAGGGCGCTCACCAGCTAATGACATAGCATATGCCTTTAAAGTCTTGGCTAGACCAGTTTATTGCTTACTAGGTAGGGACTAAGAACACATTTAAATAAATATTAAAAATATAGCATTTTGTTCCAAATTACAAAATGGTCAGAGAAATTTGACCATTGTGTTTCTATGTCATTATCTTTATAAATTGTCCTGTAAATTGAACAATCTCCTTTGTCTTGGGGGTTGTTTCTGCACATTTAAATGCGATTCCTCCAATGGCAACACTGGCTATCTCCGCCCAAATAGGTATTACTGGGGCTACGGGGAAAACGGCAGCTCCTGACACAGCAACTCGTCCTTACGCCTGACACGAGCGTCCGCAAGATAGTGTGATAGCACAAGGAGAACCAGCATTAATACTACGCTTTTGTCATCGTCTGGACTCTAAACAAAGCTCATTTAGCTCCATGGGAGGATTCCCATGGACTTCGAGAGGAGCTGGCTGGACTAGGCCCACTCATACCTGTCCGCCTGAGTCTGAATCTACCACCAGAGTGCTGAGCATATCCAATTCCAAACAAAAGCTAAGGGAGCTGAGGTGGCTCAGCACTTCTCTTCGTCAGGCCCGCTGCATCCGCCAGTTACGTACAGTGATGTATTTGTGAATAACAGGAGTGGAGTGAGAGGGGGAAAACATAAAGGCAATTTCTTCTCTGTCTCTGAAAAGTAATAAAATTTTCAATCTTTTAATCTCTCGCTATCTTTTCCAGAATTTTCTCTAGCAATTGTATTCTTATAGTAGTAATAGAAAAAAAAATTTAGTCTTTATAGCACCTTTCATCCAGCGATCCCAAAGCACTTGACAAACATTCATCAAGATCTGGCTCCTTCCCTCCCCCACTTGGAGTCTCACATATAAATCACTGCATAAATACACTCAAGGGAGCAGGCAGTTCCTTCAGGTGACAACAGGAACAGCAATGTACGGAGCCTTGACTCACTGCAAGATTGTACAGGCCCTAAAAATTCACCACAGCAGACTCTATATGCAGCTTGGATTCTACATCTGCCTGATGGCAGATAGGTAAAATCCTACCTTTACATCATCTCATCTGTCCGTATCTGCAGATTCTAAGTACAGAGGTTTATAACTATAAACAGAAATTTTTAGGAGTATTTGCACTGTATGTACATCTAGAAGTACTCACTGTACTTTGCATTGCATATAGCAGAGTGTTTCCAAGTGCTCCCTGAATGTACATTGTTATGGAAACAACTGAATTTCCCATTCATAAGTTTCATGTTCATTTTAGTAGCAGGTGCACTTTGATTTTCATATACCTGTGTATTTTAGGGGAGGAAAAAGAAAGGGCTCTTTAAAACATCAATAAGCAATTGTAAGTGTAATGCCACCAACAGTACTTTTAAAAATAAATATTAAGTATTTGGACCCTTGACATTCTGGAATGAATAAATTATTTAAGAAAAAATGTGTTAAGACTGAATGCAAGGGTTAAAAGCAAAGGGGTAGAGAATGTAGTCAGAGGTGGCCTCACACTGCTAAGACAGGCCTGTCCATAGCTGGTGATCGCTCTTTTGTGCTTACTTAAAATTTCACACTAATGGCACATCAAGAGGCAAAAGCAATTGGGCACATGCACTATGGCAACCATGTTCACTACTTAAGAATATCCTGTCTCCAGATTCCTGAGTACTTTACCATTTTCTGGAAAAAAAAATTACGTTTCATATATAATTTTTTTAAGATGCCAAAGGATTGTCTAAGACTTTACAGTGTCTCCTTTAAGACTTTTTTTTTTAAATGTTAAGATTCAAAAGTTATGAAAAGTTTGGCACATCAGAAGTTCAGCTATACACATGGAAAAAAAATGGAATTGAGAGACTATTTTTTAAAGATGAGCTATGATGCACAGATGTGCACACTTGTGGACTTGTTCTGTTTTACAATATGAAATCTGCAGTTTTTGTTTTCTAAAATAATCCAGAATAAAAACACATTCACAACCTGTAGGCTGGCACAGCATACCTGAGTGAGAATGTATAACCCCCATCTAAAACAGTAACTTAAACCTTTATCAGCATCCAAAAGGAAAAAGACAAAAGGTAAGACTGGTAAGACAGCTATTGATTCATATAAGTTTTCAAGTCCTGATGTCTGATATTTAATATATGTCTTCATCTAAATTAAAAAAAAACAAAAACAAAAAACCCAAGTTCATGAAAAATTAGGGAAACAATCTGTCTCACACTTTAAGAAACATTTAAGACCATTCTGCTGATGTAACTGAAGGAGCCACACATGCATGCAGGCTCTTTAAGAACTTTTTGTTCAAAAAAAACCCCAAAAAATCAAATGAGTCTGAGTACTTTAATTCTGTGAACACTCCTCAGTTGGCACTGACTGCCTCGTGGGCTTCATTTTCACTGCTATAGTCTGATTTGGGATCATCCTCATAGTCCTCGTACATTTCTATTTCATCCTCTCCATTTATCATTTCATTTCCAGCAAGGCTTCCGCTGTCCGTCTTCATACCGTAAGTGCTCTGAATGACAGGGATGCTGGGCTCAGGGCTGGCAGAGGTGCTAGAGCAGTCGGATGTCATCTGAGGTGATGGCGTGGTAGTTGCCATGGTAATAGCACCAGGGTAGACAACACCCGTTCCTGTGGTGATTGGAATTTGAGGCTGTTGTCTGAAAGGCAAAACAAGAGAGGGAGATGATTACCTTCCTTTGCAGGTGGAAAGCCCTTCAGCAAGTTCAAAGCAAAGCAAAGCATGTGATTTTCTTAGGAGGTTTGCCTGCGTTCCTCTGAGGTTCAAATGATGGCCCTGTAAAGCACTGGTTGACCTTAGCTCTCCCCAAGGACAACTGGAGAATAAACTTTTTAGTAAATACAAGGATTAAACCTTTTGATGCTTTGGCTTATTTTATGCATGTATTTAAGGCATACTGCAAACTAGCACTTAGACAGAGATCCTCAAAAGGCCTCAGGCACGTGAGAGCTGCCTAACAGCCACCACCGACAACTAAGTCCTAAATCTAGATCTTGACAGGAGCTTCTGGTTCATGACTGTTAGTGAAGGGAACTGAAGATTACTTATAAGCACCTAAAAAAGCAGACAGGTGAGTAAGTAATTTTGTGTGTCCATCTATCTGTAAGCACAGAAGTGCTAGGTAGACTCCTACAACAGTTAAGAATACCTCTGATATTTTATTGCTGGCTCTTAAATCTATGATCGGAATGCTCTTTGTTCTTCAGGATTTAATCTGTAAGATATCTTTTGAAGCAAAGTACTTCAAAAAAAAAAAAAAAAAGAAAGAAAAAAAGAAGGATGTGCTTGTTTGTACGGACAGAACCTACAAGAACTAAGACCTCCTCCTGAGGACCCCATGTCAGTTCTGATTTACTTCCATAATGCAAAAATATGAGGAGAGTCAATTAAGGGTACACTGCCTCTACTTCTGGCACAACTCATCTTCTGATATCTAACTTTGCATCACATAATATCCCTTTTTATTGTTTGTGACTCTAAGGATGCTGGAGCAATCCCACACTTCAACTAGAAAAGGCTTATTTCATGGCCAGTGAATTTAACACAGACTTCACTGCAAGAATGTACCTAGTTCTACTGTTGTGAATGATGCAATGTTTCTTCTTACAATGAAGTATGTATATTTAAATGCTTTGCTGAGTTAAGGTCAGGTTGCTGAACCCTCTCCATTAGCAAGTCCTTATCAGCTATGAATTAATTAAATGTACTTCTTACATTTGGATTAATTAACTAATAACCTACTTCCTATATTAAAAGACTCTCTCAAACATTCTTGTTATTATTTCTGGATTGTTAGCTTCAATAAAACTAAGAGGAAAAAAAGAAGGCAGGTAACTTGTCTGAGAGAAGAGAATCTCCATCATACTTCAGGAGTTACACTAAACGAATACGCTTCAATACCAGAAAAACCTAAGTGCTCTGCAAGACACTGTTTTACTTTTGACTGGTTATTGGACGTATATGCCTGTTTCCCTAATGCATTTAAAGAATCATGTATTTCAGTATATTCCTATCCTTTTTTAAATAGCAATATTGATCAAGTAGAGATCTTTCTATTGTGTAATTTTAGCAGGAGAAATGGGGTCAGATGTGCTTGAATAGTCTAATGAATCTGTAACTCCTTGACCTTTGTGTTTTTCTATTCTAAAATTTGAAAGGACAGAAAAATATGCTTTCCATAAAGCAGTTGCTCACAAATTAATACATTACTGGCAGTTTCTGTCATTCTTATCATTAAACACCGGCTGAATCAATACACAAAATAATGTAAAGCTTATTTACAAGACTCTGAATCTTCAGTCTGAATTGCTCATTGACCGAAGTCTAATTTTGATAAATATCACACCACAGAGTTGCTGGAAAAGTCCTTCAAGCTCAGGAACCACCAGAGACAGTCAAATCAGGAACACTCTGCCTAAGATAATACTCCAGTAGCATCAGGTACTACTGGTTTGCTAGTACTGCTAGCCCTACTCTTAAAGCCTCTGCACAGTTTATAAAAATCAAACATCTGTTGCAGAAGTATGGTACAGCTGTCTAGCAGTGAGCAAAAAAGTTGTGGTAATTCATTTGACACAGTCATTATTCTCCTGTTTGCAAATGACGATTTACAGATGATTTACAAACAGCTAGGGATTTTTCACTAAATTTTCACTTTTTAAATGATTTGATAAACGTTCTGTGAAAACAATTTTCAGTCAACATATTTGCTGCTAACATCTTTCAATACTTTATCCATAAAATTGAACACCTACCTCACATGGGAACATTTCTGTTTTATGATTGGATATGGTTAGGTGTATAAATTATTATCGTTAAAAGCCCACAGGTACCTCCTCCACAAACTCTTAGACACAGAAAACGTTCACATTAATGACTGTTTCCACAAAGCAAAGTAAAAAAGACTCCACAAATGGTCACAGCAAAATTGTACATAGTTGTCACCAAGCTACACGCAGCTAACTCTCTCCAGTTTGTCCATCCAACAACTGCTGACGTGAACCTTTTTCTGATATTGCTTAGAATACATTCACAAAACAAAGAATCCTCAAGCCTTCATCAAAGAATGCCACAATATCAATGCCAAAAGCTGTTTTGAGAAGAGTTGTTTTAAAAAATAACTTCCAATAGCTCTTCTAATAAGAGATTTTGAAAATATTCAGAACGATTGAACATGACGAGCAAAGTATGCTGCTGCTGTGTTATAGGTGACAGTAAGGATCAGAACCCTAATATTTCCCATGAAATGTTTGCTTTTCTGGAAGCGTATTGCCTTTTTATATGCAGCACAAGAAAAAAAATCTGTTCACCATGTGAAGTTTCTTGATAACGTGATGGTTTGTCAGTGTTTAACGCTAAAGGACAGACACAGATATGGTTAAGAAATTTGAGTATTGTTTCAAATGTTTATCCAGTTAGCAAACTCTTTTACATATCCACACGTCAACAGGTGGGGATATATTTGTCCAAGCACCACTCTCTCATAATGCATAAGGAAGCAGGTCATCTGAGCATAACGAAGCAGAATTTAGAGAGATGCCTTTTACTTGAGACTGCAACCTAGCATATGCCAAATTGTGGAATGAATCTAACTAGTAAAATAGCGAATTTGAGTGGCATAACAGGAAAGTTGAAGTCTTACTGCATTTTTCACTCAGAAATGCAGTTCTTCTTTACACGGTAAGCAAAAATCATACATGGTGTGCGTGCTTGCTGCTGGGCAGGTACTGTGAGCTTTAAATTACCGATATCTCACAGAAGAACTGTAAACATGTATTAACTGTACCACCTAAATGGTGCTGTCTCAAATTGCTACCTTCATCTCGAATCAGGAAATTTGCTAGCACTTAGACGTGGGCACCCACACACGCTCAGTAATTTGGCACCTACCTCTCACCTGAGCTCTGTTATGATTTAGGGATGATCAGGTTGTCACTGTAAATTCCACTCAAGTCCCTACCGCATATCCCAGAAAGCCATGTTTTTTGACATCACAACCTATATGGATTGCACATGATACTGGAGATGAGTGTTGTCATTTTCTAGGAAATAAAATTTTACGGGGTGGGGAGGGAGGAGGAAATCAAACAGCATTTATTTAAACTCTAACTGCTTGGAAGAGCTGGAGTTTCTAGCCTGTATCTCTGGCCATTATGTTTTCTTTTAGCTGTGGTTCTTCCTAAAAGACATTCATGTTAATGATATTTTTTATCTCACTAAATTCCACATGCTCGATCCTTGGCTCTGGCTAGATTTTTGCCTGTCATAGAACTTTGGAGGGATGAGATAGAAACATGCTTCCTTGAGAGCTCCAGGTTACAATTCAGCTTAGTTGCACCTGGTTCCAGTGTCCACCCAGTGTTTTCTGCCTGGTTGACATTTCTAGAACCCAGCATTAATCCTCATATCTCTTCAGGTCTGCGAGGAACAGTGATGTACAGCAGTACCCTGCCTTCAAATCCCCTCCTCTTTACACCATCTCCTCTTTGCCAGGGAAATCCTCAGCTGGCCAGCTACAACAGTTCCCTTAAATATAAAAGACAAGGTAACATGAAAATTCTTTGATCAATTAACCTGTTCACAATTTAGCGGTATTAATATTCTTAGGATTTTCCACTTTCGTTTTTGCAAAACAAGCTGCACATTTCAATTGGCAAATTACCATTGTTTTCTGATCCCTTCAGAACTATTTTCTGACAGCTCTTTAAATGACTGAAGCAAAATCGATTGCATGAAGGAAAATGCTTATATGCTATACACCCCTGCAACTTACATCCCCATAAGGAATGCAATAACAGTGAATCTCACAAAAGCACCCATTGTGCACTTACTTTAAGTTCAAGCTACAGTAGTATAATGTTACAGCCTCAGTCAAAACCGTAGTCTAGCAACATTCAGACTATGCATGTATACAGTAGTTATAAACACTATAAAGGCTTTAGTTTAAACATCTTATACTGGTAAAACAAAAAAAAAAAAGTTGCTGCTTACATCATTTTGCAGAGAAATGTATATACACCATATACTTCTATGTAGAGTGTATTAGACAGCGAAAATGACTGAGAATTGGATTATTTTTGTGAGACAAGGCAACAGAACACAGACTATTTTCAGTTAAAATGTCTGATTTATGGCTTATACATGATCATTTGTTAACTCACATTTATTTATGTATAAAAAAGTATAATAGAAGATAAATTGTAAATCATTTGAAGTCTGTTTAGGGATTACCTTCTGCTGAAGGGCTAGAAAGTTATTATTCACAACTTCCCATTAGTAATTTTATTATTAAAAATAACTCAGTTATTTTAAAGACATAGCTGGCTTCAGACTGAATTACCATTAGACTCAAAATAGCAAGTTTTCAATATACATCTGCCTCATTTTAAACAAAATTCACTCATGCAGGGGTGCAATGGAAGGCCTATGCAGATTTTAAGTTGCATCCTGTTCCTTAAAATATATTGACGGTGCACAGATTTTTATGATGATCTATTGTACATATAAAGTTTATCACAAAAGCATGAATTTCCTGCCCAATTTATTCCAAGAAATCTTCCCTGAATTCCTTGGAAGTTTTTCTTTAAATATTAGAACAGAATCCGGCCATTTGTCAGTTTATATCCTTATTTTATTTTAAAGTCTGGTTATTTTGTACATTGAGAATCACTAAACTTCAGTATGTCTTACCAACGGTTACCAAAGAATGCTGCTCACCGCGGTCAGCAGGATGGGCTTTTTTCACGTTAAAAGTTGAAGCATCATAAAACTTTCTTTCTGTGTTTATGGGGAATTTCAGAAAAGTCCAACTGTACACATGGCAGGATTATTCTGTGCTAGCCAATCGCTTGCCCATGAGGAATTAGCCCTTACTGGATTGCTAAAGCAATATATGTATGTTTGGTACAAGAATAAAATGGAAGAGAATTCCAAACACAGATATGTAAGAACATATTTTCTCTTGCTATTTATAGCTTCCTCTAGCTACCTATTGAGAACATCTTTGTATCTTTCTCTTTACACATCTACTATTTACCTTTTCATTCTGTGATAACTTTTTGCCATTTTAGCATACCTATTCCCAACTTAATCGGTATGTTCTTTAAAAAAAAAAGAAGAAAAGAAAAAAACAAGCAGCAGGACTTCAAACAGGGCAAAGCACTTAGCAGATTTTATTGCAGTCCATTTTGTACTTTTGTTCTCTATTTTACTGACATATTTACTGTAAACACAGAATGTATTCGGTCCTAAAAAACACGTTTGTCTCCTGTTTCATTCTGAAAAGGAAACTACATCTCAACTCCCACCTCCACGGTTATGAAGGAAGGTTTATGCTGTTTGTTCCATCAAAACAGTGGAAAAATGATAGGTGCACAAGGTCAGCTAGGCAAACTGTTCCAGCTGATGCTTTGTGTGCTCTTTAAAGGTAAACACAAAGAAGAGTAAGTTTAAGAAGTTAACGGGCTCAGTTATGGTGTTTCACTTAACTATAATCCGATTTGGATGAAATGTTACTTTTTATTATTCAATAACCTACACTAGTAAAATAAAAGATACCACGTAAGCTTTATGTTTCAGTTCACAAAGCTGTCCTGATCTGTTTTTTTTCAAGGCTTTAACTTGGTCTCTTCAGAGAATTTTGTTTTAATTTCCTTAGGGGAAAAAGGAATTTTGGGCAACTGTCGGAAGTCACACAAAAGCATGAAAAGCATTAAATAATCTCTAGAAATCACAACCTGCATTTCCTCAGAATCAAAATTTAGATACATACTGAACTGCCACAGGGATCTCACTTTACCTGTATCCATCCAGTACACTTCATTCCCCGTTTTTCATTAATTCCATTACTAGAAGCCATTTTTTCTAGTACAGTCCTTTGCCATCACCATATACGTACAAAAACATAATTTACTTTTACTTTAAAGCTCTTTTAACATGGGTAGAGCAGTGCAAAGTGGACTTAGCATAAATATGAATTAGAAGCAATCCTTTTGGAAAACGCTGAAATTCCCATGGCCACTGTGATGATACTGTGTGATGTATGATAAAGATGTTAAATTTAGGTTGCACTAGCAGTTTCACTTTGAATACTTTTCATTACATTTAAAAAAAATTGCAACATCATTCATTACATGTGCACTTTTAGAAGCTTCTTAAATCTGTCTTTCATATTCACGTTTCTATTTAGCCTGCGCCTTCGAAGTATAGAATGCTACTGCTTAATACTGTTTTGAATTAGGAAACAATTCTCACATTGTCCAGACTGCTGTTTGGGGTTGGGTTTTTTTTTTTTTGATTTCTTATATAGATATGATTTGGTCTTGTCAATCTGCTTTGGAAGACAAGAGCTAGAGTTTCATTCTCTCAATCTGAATACAATTTGTGGCGTGCTGTATAAATTCAGATTCCTCTTCAGGTTTCTATGTACTATTTCCATGGAAGCCTCTTAATAAACAATTTCCATTAGAGTTAAGAATAAAAGACAATGTCAGATTGTAGAGTGGAAGGTTATTCCAAGATATCAAAAATACTTCTATTTACTGATTGAAGAAAGAATCCACTTTGTTGCAGGCTGTACCACAAAATAATTGACTGCAACAGGAGTTCTGTATCCCAAGCCAAAAATGAGGGCACATAACCGATGTCAAGGTCAATTATCTGGTAGTAAAGTACCCAACAAAAGGAGACTATTGTGATTAGAGAAATAAGCAGAACATTGTAATTTTGGAAGGGCTGGCAGCAGACATAGCTCTTGGACTCTTTGTAAACCACCAAAAACATTGTGTGAGAGCACTGAGCATCACAGATGAATTCATAAAAAAATAGGAGAGAGAAATCAGCTATGGTGCAGTTGTTTCACTGGACTTTTCTGTCTTCAGCCTGGAGATTTTTCATAGTGCTGCTTTCTCTCCTGAAGACTAGAAGAAGCACTGTTAAAAAGCACACAATGCATTTAAAACTGTTCTGGGATCTTTTTGTGCCATAATTGTGAGTTGTAAATCTATCCTGTAAATCTATGTGCTATGTGAAAGACCCTTCTTAAAATGTATTTTTTTTAAAAAAAGATTACATGCCACAACCCTATAAGAAAAAAAAAACATAGCATCCTCATGATATGATATCATTAATTCATGTGTGTTTCTAATCTAATCGCTTTTGCTCCTGTTCCTTTTCCCTTCCTTTCCACCTCTCCTGACTCTCTGTTCTCACTGGAATAATCGTTTGTGTTCTTCTTTTGCTCTTGACTTAGTTTAGGAAATGATCCTGAAGTCATTACTAACCCAGAATGGACTGGCTTACTACTAACTCACAAAAGGCATAATTCAAACCTTTCAGGCTAATGGAAAATAACTTCTTTTGACTTTAGAGACTTCCACAATCAATCTTTTAATGAGCATTCAATGGCAAGCTGATAGTTCCGTACTCAGTGATACATCTTATGTTTTCAGTACGATTTTACAGGTTCAATTCCTTACCTTCTAAATGCCATTAGTAAGCAACTTAAACTGATAAGTCTACCTGTTTTCAAACAACATGCTCTGTCTCTGCCATACATTGAAAACAATTACAACAATAGTACTTACCCTACGGTAAAAAACTGCCTCATCTCCTGTCTTCGAGACCTCATCAGTTGTTTGTATTCACCAATACGCAATTTCTTTCCATCGACAATGCAGGTACGTTTTGGTCGGGGTTTATATTTGTAATTCGGGTACTTTTCTAGGTGGATTTTACTTAGCCGTGCCTGCTCTTCATAGTAAGGTTGTTTCTCTTGATTCGACATGGACTTCCAGCGAGATCCTATAAACACAAAACATCAGCGAACACTCAAGTTAGTCAGGTTTACTTTAACATATACGCTTTCCAACACATCTTCTTGCCATAATAAATAAATTTTAAATACGTTAATTAAATAAGCTGATTTCAATTTACATCAGCCAACACTTGGATCTGGAGACACAACTTGAGGCACATTAGAAAGACCTGACTTCCAGGTATTGCTGCAGATCTATCATATGTAAATCTCTTTCTAATAACTAGATGCACTTAAAATTAATAGTTGCGTCTCAAAATTGCAGTCTCATGCCACAAAACAGAGTTTCTCCTTCGTTTTTAATAATATGAGCTTTAATCTGTGAACACTCTGTACCTTTGTATTAGCACACATAATGTTATGGTTAAGTAAGGTCTACAACCATTCTTTTAATTTTAAGAGCTTAACACATTTCCTAGGGACCCAAGCTTCTCTGATACTTTTACATGGATCTGGTTCAGACGTTCCTAGTAAAAGATATTAATACCTTGCCATTTAGCAGGAAAAATTTATCAAAACGTTACAGATTCAACAAAATTACAAAAATCACTAGATATCTGGGTGTCTTAAATTTACTTATCTTCTGATTTTCGCTTAGCATAAAGTTGCCACCTGACATTATTTTCAATCCTATTATGTATGTTATTTTCCGGCCAGATGTAATAAATGTACAGAGCTGCCCTTAGTTATATTTTACTTTCTTAATTTAACTAAACTTATATTTAAGAAAAAAAAGAAAAGCAGCAAGCACATTTGTAATTATATACACCACTTTAGTACTGTAAACTTTCATTGAAAGCTGCACCAATAAAAAAAGTAAAAAAATTAATATAGTGTATACAGGAAGAGGAAAAAGTATTCAGATCGCTTGTATTGTTTATAATGAGCTATCTAAACACTCGAATAAAGAAGGTTTTTTTTCAGGGGATATGAAATGCAGAGAGTAGCTTTTTGGTGTCTTTTAGATGGATAAAACGATTACAGCTGTGGTAAACGTGGGTGGAAGCTATTCTTTTACCAAGATTTTTCATACATCAACAAATGGAAAAGTTGTATAAATATTACCCGCAGCCAGTAATGCTCTGTGTCAGTTCTAATATTTCAGACTCTTTTCTCATTGTCCTGGAAAAGTTGCACAGATATTATATGGACATAGACTTATTTGTGGCAGAGCAGATACTGACAGGTTAATTCCACGGTTAACAAACACCCAATTGCTGGCACTTCTGAAATATTTATGCTGGAAGTTTACATTTTAATGAATACAGTTACTATACTCCTAATAGTTTTTTCACAGAATGCACACAAATAATATAGATTCCCTACAGCTGCCAACACTGAAACACTGCAGGTTTTATACAAAACTGAAAGGCTATTCATATAACTTACTTATATGGTAGACAAAAATATGAGAACTACTAAGTAACATTTTGGAAGTTCTGGACAAAGTAACATTTATTTCTATGTATTTTTGCCTCTGATTGCACTAACAAATGCGTTTTTTGAAACTCCTTTGGCAAGAATGTATTTGAACTCAAAATTTACAATGAAATGACTACAGATGAACCTTGATTTTTACTTTTATTTATTACGAGTTACATTCAGAATCTGTCTTTCACTTCAAAGACTCAGAAAACAAATATAGGTTTGAACATTTCACCACTCATTCTCACGTATGTTTCTAATCCTCCGGAGGGGTCTCATAAAGAAAAGCAACATTTCTAAAAAGTCAGCCAATTTATTTGCACAGTGGCAAAACATACGTACTGGTATATTCCCTGATCACCCCAATGTATACCAACTAAATAATAACAATAGTGTCTTTTAATTAAGCAATATTTTAATGGTATGATGAAAGTGCTTGATAGGCTTTTCGAATATTGTAACATTTTGAATCAAACACCATTTTGTATCGGAAAAGGTACGCATATATATGTCTTTTGAACGTGCCATATTTCTTGCTACCTGATCACACTAGTTTGACACTGCACTGTCTGACACGAACCTTTTATTTTCATTTTGTGCTTTATTAAAATATTTCCCAATAGAGCACTATTACTCCAGATAGCACTGTTTTTACTCTCATTAAGTTTGCATTCCTGAGTTCAGGTGATTTCTAACGTGATCTTGCAATCAGGATCAGGCTACACTCTTGCCACAGAATTAAACAACCTTCTTTTTAAATGCTGCTAAGTCGTGAAAGCATTTTGTGAGTCTGCTGTTGAAAATAAAGAGAGTTACAGAAGGGGTAGGAAAGGAAAAGTAAGGGAATAAAGACAACCCATGAGTCTTCATTTGTATAAATCTCAGTAATTCCAATTTAAGTGAACATCTCCCAAACATAATATATATCCTAAAATCCGAGAGGTTGCCTATCCAAGCAGGACGTAACTAGCCCAAGTCACCAATATAAGTAACCTCATCATGTCCAAAACCAACTATCTTCTGCCAATTGCCACTACTACAGCGGAGTCTTTTCAGCTGCCCTCAATTTTGTTTCAGTGGCAATCACGATTTATTCATTGTCTTGCACTTACCTAGGATTTTGCTAATGTTGGAGTTGTGCATGTCAGGGAAAGCTTGGAGAATTTTTCGACGTTCGTCCTTTGCCCAAACCATGAAAGCATTCATTGGTCGTTTGATGTGCGGTTCACTACTGGCTCGGCCCCGCGAATCCCTGTAGACCCGAGCTTCAGCCACAGTGGCACCTCCTGTTGGCCAACAATAATACTGCTGTAGTTTAGCTGCAGAGCCATTCATTGCTTTACTTCCTGGAGTGTCAGGGCAGGAAGAAACAAGATGGGTGCAAAACATTATTATGTGCGTTATGCAAACGCTTTCAGTGCTGTGTTGATTTTAGCCTTACTCTCTTTCTCTCTCTCTTTTTGCTGTCCGAGAAAGAGAGCGAGAGAAAGGAGTGCCAGTAACGTCAGTGCCATCAGTCAGGCTCACCCAGCCAAAGTCCTGTAGCATCTGAATGAGAAACCAAATTGTACTGGTATTTCTGAAGTGAAGGTTTGGAGACGCGAAAAAGTTTCAGCTGGGGATTTTAACATAGCATATATGTTCTCTTTGCTCAACACAACTCAACATAAAAGTTACACCTGAGAATCTAAACTGATGTCGACCTGTTCACACAAGTAATTTACAATGACTGCGCTGCTTCAGCAGCGAAGCACATGCCAAATGTTTCATAAAATAAATTACACAGTACACTCAGGTACATGCTGCTAGTTGTATGCATTTGGCTATGTTTGCTGCTGAATATTTTAAAGTCACATTTGCTTTAGCTGAATTTGAGATGGATCTGTATCTTGGAGCATGCAATCACGTATCTGTTCAATTACGTATCTGTAATAAAACCGTTCGCCTTCAACAGGTACGTATACACGCACACTAGAGCTTCAGAACAGTGTGACTAATATTCTTAGCTTCTCCATGTCGGATGGGCTTTAATGACTCCCTGTCCTGTCATTACCCACCTTCAACTCAGCTGTGTGCATGCTAACTTGACAACAGAGTAGCACAATAGGCCTCCCTTTTGGTAAAATATTGCAGGTTGGGGCATATACATTACTTTGGCTAAAAATACAGGTTAGTTCTTTTTCAAAAAAAGGTTAGCTCTTTAAATTAAATAAAACATTGCAGATGTACTGACTTCAGTGACTGGCTCACAAGTTTTTAGTTGAGCAAAAGCTCAGTTTCCTAATTTAGTGTGAAAAGACTAAACCTTAGTTATACTGTTTTAAAAATTCTGTGTAGGAAACATATTTACATGAAAAAAGTCCTAAAATAGGGGATGCATAACTAATACACTACCTTTTTGCCACCAGGTCCACAGTACATTAATTTCATTTAAAATGCACTGACCAGACAGGATAAATTGATCTTGTTTTATACGGTGTTGACAGCCATGTTTATTGTGCAGTGAAATGTAGTGCAGTTTCGAGCTGACTATATCCATCAACATAGGGCGATATGCTGACTACTGGGCCATATGAAGACATACATTACCCTGAGAGCAAAACACTCATTCGTGTATGGCAGTGTCTTCTCCTGAGGATCACCATGGTAATTTATGATGCCTCCCACGCCATTACTTTACAACTGACACCAATTTGGCAATTTCTGTACTAACATGCGTGACACAAAAGAAAACAGGTTTGCGGCAAATATAAGACGCAAAAATATTTTAATAGTGTTCTAAGCACCATGCTACAGGTGTTCAGCATTTACAGAGGGCGGCTATTGCAGTAAGCTTTTTGTTGCAAGAGAGAGTAGTAGTTTTGCTAAGTGACATAAGATTCAGGTCTGTGTAGGGGACCAGTTCAGGGGTGCTGATGGTTAAGGAGGCTCTGTTCATCGATGTCAGAAGACTTGGAACATTCATTTCACAGATGTCAATTTCTTAGAGGGGATATATTTATTTTGAAACTATAATAAGTTGCAAACATAGTAAGTCAACACTGAGACATTATGCAGAGCTAGATGGCTATATAATTTAAGAGAGATCAAATATTTCATGTAATGTTCATTCCATCTTTTAAAAAATACTATAAAATTTGTAATGAGTAGTGGGCAATTACAAAGTTGCTGACAAATTAAAAAATGAAAATAATTATCGATGTCAAAGTGATCATATATTATTCAGCTACTCGACAGTGAAGGAAAGGCTAGGACACGTTTAAACCCATATGATGATCTTCCATCTTTTACCTTCCCAAAGACACTCATTTGGTATGGCTAAGGAGTTTGTCTTTAGCCTTTTCTAACACAAGTCTGGCCTGATCTTTCAGTCCTAATGCAGGCAAAGAACACTTTTGCTAATATCAAGATTATAGGCTGGCTTTTTAATTTGGATATAATTTAGGTAGAAAGTCAAAAAAAGAGAACGTAAATGATCTGTTTTCAGAGAAAGGTTTTGTCAAAAAGCAATTCTTACTTAGAGTAATAAATTACAAACATCTCAAGAAGGCCGAGAAGCTCTGGCTGCATCTGCTTTAAGCAAGTTCATACTTGAACAATTTGAAAAAAAAAACCAAAGAGCTGGTGCTCTTTGTGCTTGATCGCTGAGGGAATACTTGCAAGTTGACCCATAGGCCATCACAAAACTATCTGCAAAATGAATTTCTGCAAGTAACTAAAAGTAATATAATCTCCATGTTCTTCTAACTATCTCAAAACTACAGAATTATATTTTGCACATAAAGTATAACAGCGAAATACTTCTGTTAGTGTACGACACTAGGTAGGGAGCCCAAAATTTTCAGTACCTTTTTAGCTTAGAAATGAGACCCTAATGATATAAAAAAGGCACATACACTCAGTGCGTTCTTGCAAGTTAAAATACACAAGAAAAAGCTTTCAAACTGCAGGATAGTTCTTAGGTACTTCATCATGCCAGATATGTAAACAGTATTTTGCCCTACATGAAAATTTCAACAGGTTTTACCCAGTGTTTTTTGTTTTTTTAAATTGCAATAGTGATAATAATGACTGAGACAGAGAAAGAGTCTGTGAAGAAACTGTGAAGTTTTTAAAGAAAAGATATGTAAAACTGCAGAATAGTAGGTGTTATTGTTCTGTTCTTTCCGAGAATGTTTTCTGAAAAGTCTAATAAATAATAGTCAAAAATAATAGATAAAATAAAAAATGAAGGCTGAGAATAGAGAGGGAAGCTGGTAATTAAAACAATTGTCTCTCTATGGTGACTAATGGTCTATTTGCTCGTTATTGCTCATACTACAGTCACAGAAGGAGGTTTTGATTTTCAGAATTAGGAGTTTGGTCAGGATTCAAAATGATTGCAAAAGCAGTATGATTTGGCTGCCCTAATGGCTGAGTTGCCAAAGAAATCTACTCTCTGGCCTAAAGGCTGGGGCTATCCTAGAGCGGACACTTTTAGCTTCTGAGGGTGGGGACTGCCTCGCTTCCTAGATCCTTTACATTTTGCTGATCTTGCCATGCCTTAGATGATTTAAAGCTAAAAGCAGATTGGAGGAGAGTCATAATATTTTGTGGATATGTATCGTGTAATTCCTCTGGGAAAGCTGGATTCAGGACGAGAGTCTAGGGACAATATGAGGCCAAAGAAGAGCAGAGAATGAATCTAAAAAAGTTACAGCTTCCTTACAGTAATAGAAAACAATATTTTTCTTCCAAAAGAGGCTGACTGTTCTCTAATGACACTGCATAGGCAAGAAGAACCCCTGTCCTCCAGAAAGCAGAAAAAAGAATCTGATCAGCAACAAGAGAGGCAAAGATGAGGTATTTTCATAACAATGAAATGTTGAAGAAAAAAAAATACAGTAACAATTGTTACATTGCTTATTTATTATTTCCTGCATTTATCTGAGTTTCTCACCTTCTACACGATAAGAATTTTAGGGCTAGGTCTCCTGGCATCTTCTCTGAAATCTTTGTGGCCAGATTATGGTTAATCCTACTGTCTTTAACAGGATAGGATTTTATCCTCCATTTATACATCACCTGCTACAACAGCACCTCAGATTGGGCCTCTTTACATGTTACCAGAATGCAAATAATACTAATGGTGACAGAGACAAGCAAACAGAAGCCTGAGGAAAAAGATGAGGAAAGAAAGAGAAAAGAACTGACAGTAAAGAGGGAGAGATTTTTATCAGTCTCTCAATTATTCCCTAATTACTCCTTGTGCCTGGACATTGACTCATGTTTGAAGTGACACATTTCCTTTGACTTCCCCCAGATATCCAATCTCTGGCTACTCTAAATACTGCATACCATCTTCCGTAGGTATACACCAAGTTAGGGTATATAGAAATAAAGACAATCTTGCTAGGTTCCTCATGTGAAAGTGGCTACAGTTAATAGTAAAACTGCTATCATCAGTTATTCATTAAGCTGAGATGACAATTTCTGTCTAAAGCTTGCAACCTCCAAAATATCCAGCCCTCTCTGTGTTTATACAACTAGCACTGCTAGCAGCTAGCACTGCAGAGACCAAAAGCAAACGAACATGGAAACCGAAGTGACCGTTTTGCTGCTAGAGGTGGGTTACTCCTAACACGGAAATGCCACGAAAACAGGGAGAGTGAAAAATTGGCTTAGCACTCCCCTTTCGTGCTCTTAACCTGTGGATAGATGAATGCAGCCTTTATGAAAGCTCTAACAACATTTAAATAAAATAGAAAAATGCACATCTCAAAAGAACAGACAGACAACAAGATTTGGAAAGTTAAGAGTATAAGAAGAAAATCATTTAGCAATTATTTTGAGATAGGAAAGTCCTACATTTCATTTTGGAAAAGGTTGCAAAAATTACTACTTTGTTGTTATCTAAGTGACTTGCAGCAGCGTTAGGGTAACATTTATCTTTGTTTTGCCCCTTGGCTGCCTTTTACTTCTTTGCTTTTTCTCGCCAGCCACATTCAAAAGACTGTCTTGTACTTTATTACCAGCAGGAGAGGCAAAACAAATGGGCATCTCACGAACTATTGTCATTACTGGTGTGTCTTGTCATCACTATGCAAAGCTAACACCCACACAGAAACAGGACTAGCTCCGGGACGGCGCTGCCTGTAGTCACACAGAGGCACAAACGTTCTGCAGGAAAGCGTCTGTTCATCAAGCCGCTTTCATTCCAAATGCTAAACAGATATTATTCAGCTGGGATTTGAGGGCCCAACACTTCTTAGAAACTGCACACCAGTGAATGAAAAGGGGGAAAACTTGAGAAATATATGAGTGAGTCATGAAATCGTGTAACATTTAAATGGGCTCTAGAATATTT